CTCCTTTTTCATTTCGATCTCTAATTTATATATATATATATATATATAACAGATCAAAATCAAAATTCTAATATTAATTCAATTAGGTTTAATTGCAAATTAATGAGGTCCGAAATCATTCAATCGCAAATATATACAGGCATTGATGCTCTCCCATGAACCAATTCACTCGGTGCAAGCTTTGTCTCTATACCCAGCTGAGGACAAAAACCAAAAATATAGATAGCTTTACAGATCGGGTGAATAGTGATCTAACGGGGTTTTAGTGACCATGAAAGTCTGGCGAAGGTACCATGCTTTAGTTACCATGAATTTATACTAAGGTACTGAGATGAGAGAACGATGGTTGATGGTGATAATTTTGGCTTAGTGGAGAGTGTTGGTTGGCGTTTCTGATGTCGGGTGTGGGGGTTGTGAGGGTTAGTAGGTGGATCTCACCACCGCCGTTGATCACACGAAGCTTTGTTCCGACAGTGGCGTCACTGTGGGCGATGGCTTTCATGGTCACCATCAACCGGTGGTTGAAGAAGAAAAGAGAGAAGGATAGGTATTTTTGGAAGACTAGAAGGGTGTTACAGTAATAATTTAGGGGTGTTTATTGCACAGAGGGGTAATTTTGCACAATTTTAAAAGATTAGGGGTGTTTATTACAAACTTTTTTAAATAGGGGGTAAAAGTGCTACTAAAAGTATACTTGAGGGGTGTTTTCTGCACTTTACCCTACACAATCTCTATCTCACATATATTGAAGAATTATCCAAAAATATCCTTGGAGGTTGCTCTAAGAGGATTCGATTCTCGACCTTCCGAATGTAAATCGAATGTCTCTGAGGTTAGGCTATCCTTTACAGTTTATTACAAGTATTAAAGTACTCTTAATTCAGTTTGATATTTAAAAAAAGAAAAAAAAATCATAATATACATAAAGATGATGCGTGTATCATTTTCTACAGAAAAATCTGTTGAATCCCTTTCTAGATCCTGTCTTTTTCAAATTCACGCTGATGGAATAGCGTTCATGGGCCGAAGCATCGACTTGCCTCTCTCCCTCTTTCAATTTGAGTCTGTTTGTGCGTGCACAAGTTTTTGGTGGGCTATGTCCTCTGTGTGTGTGTGTGTGTGTCTATATATATATATATATATGTAAATATATACATGTGGAGGTGAATTGTCCATTTGAAATTATGAAGAAAACGGACAGGCAAATGACATCAATGATCAAACCATGGTCGGCAAAGTTCTTCCACTCGCTACTGTACCAGAAAACCCATCATGACATTGCTTCACTTCTCTTGGTGGACATCTCGGAATACTGAAAATGTAAAATTATTTATTTTATGTAATCGGAAAAAATAATTGAGTACTGCATTATTGGTGCCTCCGAAATAATCAATAATTTTAATAGCTTAGAGCATGATAAATGAAACAAATTAGCAATAAATGGTTATTTTAGACTTTTTAATTTTGAGATCCTCAAAAAGAGTTGTTCATTGATCAAGTGTCCTAATAATGAGATGACCTCAAATTCCAGCCCAATTAGTGAGGGCTGAAGCACGACGACCCAGTGGTAACCTGCAAGGTGAATTCTGACGTCGACGAATGAAGATGCAACACATGGACGATGGGATGCCTCATAATTGACCGTTGCTCAAAATACTCTAATACTTTGTTAGCCAGGAAGGAAGGAAGACGTGTGAAAAGAAAATAAAAATGAAAAAATTTGTTCGATAGAGATCATACAAGGAAATAAATAATAATAGGAGAATGTGTTAGCATTTCTTTACAAATTTTTGTCTGTTAAAAAATGGGCATAAGAAAGAGAGAAGAAAAAATGGAGTATTAAATACTATTATAAATTATATAAGTTTTAAATTACAGTATTATCGCGAATTAAAAACGGGAAGAGTCCCAAATCCGATGTGGCTACATCAAACTCTTAAAAAAATAAAAGAAATTAAAGCCTACTCTCTTACACGCTATAACGGGAGGGCAAAAAAAAAACAAAGGAAAAAGTTTCATCAGCCAAATTGGCTTGCTCACCAGAGCTAATTATTGGTGGTGGTATTTGGCAGAATCATTTGATAGCTTACGGGGTTTAAGGACTGCTTACAATGAATTAGAGGGTGCTCTTCTATTCACCTGAATAAAATGAAGAAAATATACAATATCTTTTCTATAATATCTCATCCATTCTTCTCTTTCTTCCATCTAATTTTTTCATTTCATTTGAAAGGAGCATAATAATTAATAAAACCAACACTTGGCAGCTATTTTGGGGAGAATGGGCTTTCAAGGTGAGCTAATTAATTAGTTGGTAGAATGATGGGCTTATTTGTTGGGCATATAAATAGTGGGCCGAAATCATGACAAATGTAGAATACAAGCACAAAAGAGCTTCTAGTATGGTGAAAGTGGGCTAAAGTATAAATGGTTTAGTGGGACACGTGTCGGCCACAAGTTAAGTGACCCCCAAAAAAAAAAACGTAAACAAATAGTGTGACCATACTAGAAAAATCTAACAACTTATTCTAATTTATTCTACTACAGTACATTGAAACAATTACCGAGTAAAGTATCATTTTTTCCAAGGATAACTCTTCAATTTCATTCCATTTCTTCAGATTTTTGTTGATAGAACAACTTATTCTAATTTGGAACAGATTAAATGCAAAAAATTGTCTAAACAAGTAATGCCAACAACAAATTAAATGCAAAATAATGTTGGAGAAAACTTGTCCTTGCAATTTCATATCTGGCTTCATTTTATTTCTTATAAAGCTCCATTTGTTTAGAAGTGAGTTTATTTATTATTATTATTATTTTTTTGGTTTGTTTGTTTAGATCATTTGCTTAGAGTTATTAATAATACAAACTTTTTAAGATGCTTGAGTTTGTCTTTCTTTCAATTCGCTTATTTGTCTTATTAATTACCCTTCCTTTTTTTTTTTTTTAAGTACCTTGGCCAATATGTAAGACTTTGAATTCACTATATTTTTCACTTTGTTTAATTACTTTTTATTTTATATGTATGTATGCACATATATATATATATATATATATATAAAGTACCTTGGCCTCGCCAGTAATATTGGTAATATTGACACATTATTTTTAATTGTCAAATTATAAAGGATAGGGTATATATTAATTATGAAATCATAAATGGTAGGTACACACTTACCAATATTATTATATTTTTAGATTTTATAAGTAAAAATGATGTGTCCATTTATTATTGATTCACATTAACAGTGAAGATGAAGTACATATTCTCATAATCTATGTATTGTCCATATCAATTTCTCCTTAATTAAAGCTTTTAATGCTTATTATCTATATGATTTTTATTAAAATTAATTTAATTCTCTATTACTTGGGACATTTCAACAATACAATGGCAATCAAGGACTTTACTAAATTACCAGATAAAAATAAAAATATGCATTTAAAATGAAAGAGCAGGAGGATAAGGTTTTTATTAATATCATGACATTGAAAATAGTTAAATTAATAGCAAGTGGGATCTTTTAATATATATTTTTACACAAACATTATTGTTTAATGTTTTTAAGCATACACCAACTTCTAAGAATACATTACAAGTAAAATATGTTCTCTCTCAAATGAGTGTAACATAATTGCACTATACCTTCAAAATTAATAATATTATTACTAATATAAATAATGGTTTGTGGTAACCATATTAAATTGTGTGGATCAAATGTAAATGAGGCATAACACATAAAGACGTTGAAATAGAACAATTATAGCTAATAATACTACTTACTACCTCAATTCATTATTAAATTAAGAATATTTTTAAAAGTATATTATATTCATTCTGTCCCAATTTAATGGTCCATTAATAAACATTTAGTTTTAATTTTTCTAAAAAGGTACAGTAAAACCTTAAAAGGTAATATTTAGTATACTTCCACTTATTTGTTGTAGGAAATTATCTAACTGAATGTTTTTTTATTGGTTATTCATATACAATATATGTAAGTGGAGAGTCCATTCTTTTATTTATCCCATTTGTTGTAGTGAATTACCAGACTTATTTATTTTAATTACTCTATTTATGCATAGATAAATAAGTGGGGCCTTCCACTTACATGTATTGTACATAAATAATTAAGTAATTCACTGTAATAAATCGATACAAGTATCATTACTTTTAAAATAAATAGGTTTGACAATTCATTACGACAAATGGAATAAATAAAGGAATGGACCTTTCACTTACATGTATTGTGTATAAATAACCAAGTAAAAATATTTGGTTAGTTAATTCACTGCAATAAATCGGTGCAAGTATCATTACTCTTCTTTTAATTAATCCATTTATACATAAATAAAAAGTGGGATCCTCCACTTACATGTATGGTACATAAATAATTAATCAAAAATATTCGATTAGATAATTTATTGTAACAAATTATTGCGAGTATCATTACTCATTTTAAAATTTAAATGGTGCTTGTGAAAAGATTGCATTTGTTATCCCTTTGACTTTTTAAATGAGGTAGATATTTTCTTACAAAAAAAAAAAAAAAAAAAAAAAAAAAAAAAGAAAAAAAAAAAAGGGGAAAGATGGACTTTTAAATTAGGAGAGAGGGAGAGCTGTTTAATGGAGTATATACAGTTTTGACACTCATTATGTTTTTTGTAAGCAGAAAATAAAATCGAAAAAAGTTTTAAAATATTAATATTGGAAAAGGAACTTGACATTAAATTTCGTTTCCCCAAAAATAAAAATAAATAAATAGTTTAAAAACACAAATATTGGAAAAGTTAAGCCATTTTGCATAAGGATAATATGGTAATTACGCCAGTAAAAGGGCCAAAGGATGGTAAGTGGACAAGATGTACACAGTATGGCAGCTGTAACAAGGGTCATAGCAGCCCACAGGAATCCACGGCTGAAAAGAGAGATTACCCTAGCTCACAACCGTCGGATCTATTGATCCAACGGTTCAAAAAAACCCTAACGATGATGAAGCACTACTGCCTCGTTTATAAACCTTAAGAGGCTACTCTCGCCTCTCATTCTCTCTCTCGCTCTACAAAACACCCTCTCTCTCCTCCTGAGTTCGGCCAGCGAGAGAGCTTCCTGAGTCTTCGATTCTTCTTCATCTGCGAAAGGTCAGTTCTCTCTGCTCCTCTTTCTCAGTATCTCCTAGGGTTTCTATAGGTTTTCGTATTATTCTTTATTGGAATCTTTAAAGTGTTTTTGTTCTTATGACTGTGTATATTCATCTGTTGAAATATATGATATATATGTACAGATCTGTTGTTGTTTTGAGCTGATTTGTGCATCTGTAGTGTTGTTTTTGTATGATAAGATTCATCTGTGCAGTGGATATGTATTTTTCTTTTCAGATGCACTAGTACCAGTAGATGATTTTGGATCTTCTGTTATGTTTTGAATTATAGGACTTGGATTGACCTACTAGATTTACTCGATTTGTATGTGTGTTTAAGTTCATACGTATATTCGCTTGACATGCTTTTGATGCGATTTCAAATTTTGATGTGGTCAGGAAGATATTAGTTTGCTTGTGTAGCATCTGGAATTTGATAAATTTGTTCCGATTGTTTGTGTATTTTGGAGTAAGTTTTAGGCATCTAATCTGTAGATCGCTAGTTTGCTACTTTTGTCTAATCATCATCAATTTATTCTTGCTGGATTGTGTTCTCTGCGTTGAGCATACTTTGCTATTCTATTTTTAGCTGTTTATGCCGAGGGAAACGGTAGCATTTGTATGTTTTATTTTCGAAGTGCAAAGTCTTTAACAATCTTCTTGTTTATCTTTTGTATGATATTTATGATAGGTGTGTGGGATCCTCTGCTGAATACCTTCTATAGCGTGCTGTACATTTTAAATCCATGTTAAACACATTTGTTCTTGATTTCAATAGATTTTTGTGTTGAAACCTAGAAAAAATATGTTGAAAACGGGTTTTAAGTTAGTTGAATTATTGTTATTATTTCTAGTTTAAGTGCCATTTAAATGTGTTTTCACATTTGTTCTATGTGTTGAAATTGTTTTGAAATATCGAGCAAATGATTTTGAAACAAAAAAAAACTGCACAGCACTCTACAACAGAAGGCAAATACAGCAGATGATTCTGACTCTTGTGATAGATGCTTTTCTTTTAGCTTTCTATCAAATGATTTTTGAGAAAACTGCAATATAAAGCAGAAAAAGTAGGTTTCAATTTTAGTGTGATATATATATATATATATATATAAGTGGAAAAATGAGTTTGGCTAAATTAAATGGTTATACATGGCTCTGTTGAATATGTGATTATTTTTATGCAGCACTATTCTAGTCTCATTCTCATAATTTATTTCTTTATGACACAATTATGAAAGATTTCTTTACGACACAATTGCACTATCATGAAAGATTTGAATACATTTGGAGGCTTTGTTGTACGCTTTGATAGTCTAGCCTGTGTCTGGGCAGTGTTTTGGTATTTTGCATTTGGCTCCTTTTCATTAGTTAGTATCTATGACCAATGTGGTAAAAAAAAATATATATATATCCAGTACTGTTGTTATTTTTGACAGGATTGTTTGTTATTCTGCATGTGCTTGACTATTTCAATTTGGTCCATATTTTGTTTATGTACATAGTTTGTTATAAATATTGATATTTATTTTCCGGAATATTTTTGTACTAACATACCATTTTCTTTTGAATTTTGTTTTTTAATCTCAGGTTTTCTAACAAAGTGAAGAATGGGTAAGGAGAAGGTTCACATAAACATTGTGGTCATTGGCCACGTTGACTCTGGCAAGTCAACCACCACTGGGCATTTGATCTATAAGCTTGGAGGTATTGACAAGCGTGTCATTGAGAGATTCGAGAAGGAGGCTGCTGAGATGAACAAGAGGTCATTCAAGTATGCCTGGGTGTTGGACAAGCTGAAGGCCGAGCGTGAACGTGGTATCACTATTGATATTGCCTTGTGGAAGTTTGAAACCACAAAGTACTATTGCACAGTTATTGATGCTCCTGGACATCGTGATTTCATCAAGAACATGATCACTGGTACTTCCCAGGCTGACTGTGCCGTCCTCATCATTGATTCCACCACTGGTGGTTTTGAAGCTGGTATTTCCAAGGATGGTCAGACCCGTGAGCATGCTTTGCTTGCCTTCACTCTTGGTGTCAAGCAAATGATTTGCTGCTGCAACAAGGTGAATTTCTGAGTTATTATATTTGTTTACTGATGCTTCTTTCGGCAGCCAGCCTAATTAAAGTTTTAATTTGGGAGTGAGACTAATTTTTGTTTTGTTAATCTGTGTATAGATGGATGCCACTACCCCAAAATACTCGAAGGCAAGGTATGAAGAAATTGTGAAGGAAGTCTCATCCTATCTGAAGAAGGTTGGATACAACCCTGACAAAATCCCATTTGTTCCCATCTCTGGTTTTGAGGGAGACAACATGATTGAGAGGTCTACAAACCTTGACTGGTACAAGGGCCCAACTCTTCTTGACGCTCTTGACATGATCTCGGAGCCCAAGAGGCCCACAGACAAGCCCCTCCGTCTACCACTTCAAGACGTCTACAAGATTGGTGGTATTGGAACTGTCCCAGTGGGACGTGTTGAGACTGGTGTTCTCAAGCCTGGTATGGTTGTTACCTTTGGACCAACCGGCCTGACCACTGAAGTCAAGTCAGTGGAGATGCACCATGAATCTCTCCAGGAAGCCCTGCCCGGTGACAATGTCGGGTTCAATGTGAAGAACGTTGCTGTCAAGGATCTCAAGCGTGGATATGTTGCTTCCAACTCCAAGGATGATCCTGCCAAGGGAGCTGCCAGCTTCACCTCTCAGGTTATTATCATGAACCACCCTGGCCAGATTGGAAATGGTTATGCTCCAGTTCTTGACTGCCACACCTCCCACATTGCTGTCAAGTTTGCTGAACTCCTGACCAAGATTGATAGGCGATCTGGCAGGGAGGTTGAGAAGGAACCCAAGTTTTTGAAAAATGGTGATGCAGGGATGGTGAAGATGATGCCAACCAAACCCATGGTGGTGGAGACTTTCTCCGAGTACCCACCCCTTGGTCGTTTTGCTGTGAGGGACATGCGCCAAACTGTGGCTGTAGGAGTTATCAAGAGTGTTGATAAGAAGGATCCCTCCGGTGCCAAGGTAACCAAGTCTGCTGCAAAGAAGAAATGATGTGGTGTTGAAGAGTTTCTCTCACTAGTTGAACAACTGGTCTATTTTCCTTCCCCTCTAGTTATTTTTGGACTTCGTTTTCTGCCATTCTAGCAGTTTTGTTTATTGTTCTGGAAGCTTCTGTCACTGCTCTTTTAGGCTCACTTGCGAGGACAGTCGAACCATTGATGGAAAAGAGGCATTTGCCGTTTCTTAATTTGGTTTTTATTGCAATGAGATGAGTTGTAGTTGGTGTCATTAAAACTTCAGTTTGTTGTGAACTCGCGCTTTTTACAATTATACTACTTTCTTCTCTGTTTGAGTTTATGTTTCTTTGCTGTTTAGCATGAGAGTATTATGCCAATGATAGATCATTGGCATCACCGTTTGTTTTTAGGGCAAACAACTTGCTGATGGCTTTGCTTATTTATTGCATGAGCATTGCCATCTATTTTAGGGTGTTTTGCGTTTTAACTCGCCAAAAAAATGATCCTGTGGACAGGAAATACTGCTATGCTTATTTATTGCATGTTTCTGTTTGCCCGCTTAAATGGTATTTTTAGATTCTGACCAGAGAAATCTGTTTTGAGGTCGGAACAAGATGATAACTATGTGAATGTGAATATTACTGGGTAGATGCCATCTGGTGTGCGTGTGAATTGACATGGTATGTTTGTTGTTATAAAACAGAAGAATCAGTCTTCATTTATATGAGATACTTGTTTATATATAGGCGCAGCTGGGAATTTGCTTCCCACAAAACGGGTTGCATTGCCAGGCAGGTACAAACCGAGTTCGGTCCTGCATGTTTTTGCTATCATGTATTTGCTTGGTTGATACTTGATAGCTTGGTTCTAGTTATGATTTCCCGGTATACATCTTCAGAATTTCTGAAGATGCCGAGTGCCTGCATGTTTTTGCTTGGTTGATAGCTTGGTTCGAGTTATGATTTCCCAGTATACATCTTAAGAATTTCTGAAGATGCTGAGTTCTGAAGATGCTGAGTGGGGTGTGGGATTGATAGGAACGTCGCATTTCCTTTAGTCCTCTTACGAGCAGAATCATGTGACTGAATTTTTATTCCACTTTCACTGACTGGGTACTAGCATAGTAGCAAATGCACATGGAGATTATTTAATTTTCAAATATGAAATAGCATCAAACGAAAATTTCATTTGTCTACCCAAAAAGGAAAAATGACAAACATTTCAATCAAAATATAGAGATGAACAACTAGGCAATCGGAAGTTATCATGAGCTTTCATTTAACAGGAACACATGTTTTATTACAAAATGTTTGTGGAAACTATGCACATCAATAATAGAATTTTGAACTCAGTTTCATCTCCTCATGTGATCAGCCTTAGTGGCTGAAGTTCTTACTGTGAGATCAGCAGACCTTGCTCGTCATAGCTGGGGTCTATCAAAGGAGATGATCGAAGACACAGGAAGCTCTGTGCTCTATCCCGGATGATGTTAAGATATTGATCCTTCAAGGTCAAGAATTCTCTCTCAATTGGGTTACAAAAACTTACCAGATCGGCTAACCCGGCAGCATATGAAGCGAACAAAGTTGCTCCTCCTTTAGATGATTTAAATTTCTGTTGGGAGGGCATCCCTCTTCGTGTTAGAAAGGCTCTGTTTTCGGATGCATTTTTTGTGTTATGGGTTTTTTATCATCTGTTTTTCTGTTAATATATATGTGTGATACCACTTAAATGACAGTCTATCTTTTCCCGTCCCCAGTAAAATACATTATTGCAAATGGTCCCAACCCTGAAGGATCCCAAAAATGATACCTAGCTCCAAATAAAAATGAAAATTGTTCTGGAATGATTATTACTCAACTTGATAAATGCATTACTCACCAGAAAAACTTAAGAAATGCAGTACACCAAAAATATCACCATCTTCTACCTTCATCAGAATTGACAACAGCATTATAACCAAGGTTAAGGGCAAGTTTGCTAGGCTATTGGTCTCGCAATAATCTCATAATAAATTTTCAATAACCTGTAACAATAATATCAGAACCTTTTGCAGGTAGAGCACAGTGCAGAATTATGCACACTGAAGACTGATATCAAAATTTCTCATTAACATGATAAATTAGTAATCCATTTGGTAAATGCTCTCATCTAAAGCTTAGTTCTGTTAAAACGGGATTCACTTGTTCAAAGAACCCTCAGGACAAAAAGAACAGGAACATTGCCAAAATATCAGCTAGGATTTTCAAATCAATGACCGACCAAGAATGTCCCTTTCGTTGATTTCCTGCTTTCAATGTTAGGGGGCTAACGACCATTCTGCTTCCACTTGGAGCATCAAAACTGCAAAAGTAATTTTGAATTTTGAATAACATACTACTTGGAAAATCTTTGAAGTGTCTACATAAAAAATTATATTCATAAATCGGCCAGTGATGTAATCATACCATTATCATTTGCAAAGGAAATTAAAAAGGAAACGAGAAAATTCTTTCTGTAACCATTTTACAAAGAATTTTGAACGAACTTGTAGATGTAAATAGATTCATTATAAAGCATATAGAGGACATCTTAAGTTTACCTGACAGAAAATTACAACTCTTTACCATTGTCAATCTGTGTTTTCGCTGCTGCCTTTTCTGTTTCTTCCAAAGCAAATGTTTTGAGTGACTCTACGTCCCTGGGCCCTGATTTAAGTGTCAGTTGGTAAATCAAAAACCGATCCATTAGTAAAACTCTACAAATTCAGTGGTATAAAGCTAATAACAAAGAATGCTATATCAGTTAAATGCTTCTCATACAAAAAAGAGCATGAGAAACAATATACATAGATGTCAACTGTCAAAACAATGTGCCTAGTGGATAATGCCATTGTTTCCTGGTTTCAAAAGGAATTTCAATCATATAAAGCAAAGATTTTAAGACAATTCCAACAAATTTATTCCACAATTTTCAATTTCTGCTGCTTGCACAAAGTTTAGAAGATAATTTATACAGTTACTGCAGATATTTAGATACATCATTTATTGTTGTGTTTTATTTATTAATCTGTAATTGGGACCAACAATGGCAGGGCTAACAGCAATTTGATTGGTAGGGATTTATATTTTGGGAAAAAAAAAAATTTCAATCATATAAAGCAAAGATTTTAAGACAATTCCAACAAATTTATTCCACAATTTTCAATTTCTGCTGCTTGCACAAAGTTTAGAAGATAATTTATACAGTTACTGCAGATATTTAGATACATCATTTATTGTTGTGTTTTATTTATTAATCTGTAATTGGGACCAACAATGGCAGGGCTAACAGCAATTTGATTGGTAGGGATTTATATTTTGGGAAAAAAAAAAAAAAAACTCTATATGAAAAAGAATGGGGACAATGAAAACGAGAAGAAAGAAAATAAGAGAAAGAGACAGTTCTTTGATAGGGGGCTATAGGGTTTCTAGAGTCTTCTTTCATGCCACCAGAATGTTAAGTTGGTGAAAAGTGAAAAACCGAAGGTGCCAGAACAGGGAGAGGAAGACCAAGGTCTGGAACCAGATATTTGGGAACTTTGGATATTACACCAAACGACTAAGGTAATAACTTGGTGGTGGTGAACAAGAATATAACCTATGTGAGAAGCAAGTAAAGGAGTGGGGACAATGAAAACGAGAAGAAAGAAAATAAGAGAGAGAAAGACAGTTCTTTGATAGGGGGCTATAGGGTTTCTAGAGTCTTCTTTCATGCCACCAGTATGTTAAGTTGGTGAAAAGAGAAAAACCGAAGGTGCCAGAACAGGGAGAGGAAGACCAAGGTCTGGAACCAGATATTTGGGAACTTTGGATATTACACCATACGACTAAGGTAATAACTTGGTGGTGGTGAACAAGAATATAACCTATGTGAGAAGCAAGTAAAGGAGTGGGGACAATGAAAACGAGAAGAAAGAAAATAAGAGAGAGAGACAGTTCTTTGATAGGGGGCTATAGGGTTTCTAGAGTCTTCTTTCATGCCACCAGTATGTTAAGTTGGTGAAAAGTGAAAAACCGAAGGTGCCAGATCAGGGAGAGGAAGACCAAGGTCTGGAACCAGATATTTGGGAACTTTGGATATTACACCATACGACTAAGGTAATAACTTGGTGGTGGTGAACAAGAATATAACCTATGTGAGAAGCAAGTAAAGGAAGGACACACACCATGAACTAGGCACCAACATACATGAACAAAAAAATCAGAGAGAGAGAGAGGGAAGGAAAAAAAAGGAAGGCACACGCATACATTGTATTGAAGATTTAATGGAGGAATCAGTGGAGGAAAATCTTTAGTAATTGATGTTGTTTCCTATTATTGAATCTTCAATACATTGATTTACTGAAATAATTTATTAATCAATATAATAACGCAAATTCGATTCCATTTTACATGCCCTCAACAAAACCATACAAAGGCAATAGCCTACATTCTGAGCACTATAATTAGCCCAGTCTGCAACGTACAAGTTCATATGTTGAACTATGTCTTTGTGAATGCTCTTTGTGAAAAAGGTCATGCAAGCGAGTCCAAGTGCCTAACCATCTGGAATTGCCTTTGTGTCTTGACACATCCCTTGTCAACTGTTATGCTTTTCAAATTCATAATAAAGGACAAGTCTATGATGGTATTTCATTGCTATGATCCTATAAATAGGATTTAAGACACATTTAATTGGTATGACAATTATATATAAGAAAAGTACAGCCAGTTCAACTAATAGGAAAGTACCATGTTAAAACCAGAAAGTAAAAGAACACATTTAGTCATTTGTCGTGAAAAAATTGAAATTAAAAAGTGATATGCAAGCATTGTTTGTGTATGGTATGAATTTTAAAAAACACTAAACAAACCAGCTTCCAGACAAATAAAGTTCAAATTTTACCTTGGAATTTTGCAACTTCTTCTCCATTATAAAAGAGCTTGAATGTAGGATATGAATGAATATTAACTTTGGTACATACTGGTTTGCTCGCACCACAATCAACTTGTCCAATCTCTATCGCATCCTCCCCTTCCACTGCCTTCCCTAGGTCCTCCCACAATGATCCCAAATTCTTACTGAAATTTGTTTCATTTATAAATAAGAGAACAACATTAATAATACTAAAAATCTAGCACATTCATATATCTGATGAAGCTGGAAATTTTACCAGTGCTTGCACCAAGGAACACAAAACTGCACAAACCACGCCGTGTCTTTCTCATTCACCTAAACAAAACACGTACACGGCAAGTAATAAGTGCGGTCTCAACAAATATTAAAAGGATGGAATTGGGGGAAGATTGGTACTTACATTCCACTTCAAAAATTGAGTGACAAACAATTCCTACACATTTTATTTGAAATGGCAACCTGCTCATTCCGATACTACAGTTGTTATAAAGTTCCAGGGAAACAAAAATACTACAGTTGTTATACCGATAAAATCTCTACTGCACAAGAGTCATAAACTTAGGTACATAACCCAGTTGTCAACATCCAGTTGCTACTCTTATGTGAATAGGGAAAATTTCCAGAAATGCTCTTTCAAACCAATTATAACGATCCTCAATATAACACCACCAAAATTTATCTAGAGGTTTAATTGCATATTTGACTTTGTTAAACCCCATGGCTAGCAGGGGGACTTAAATGTAACTGTGGATCCATCGGAAAAAACTTGGGGGTTGGCCTCCTGACTTCAATGCCTTTATTGACAACGATGAACTTTCAAGATATGATTTGCTCGTGTGGATTATTCAATGGGGCTTTCAACGACAGCAAATTGATTTGGAGCTATAATCAAACTGGTTATCATTGCATCTGGGTAGACTAGATAGAATCCTTTTGAATGGGGACTGCCCGCCTCAATTACCAGACCCCATTTCCTTAATCATCAAAACAACACGCCACCAAACCAAAGAGCCAAAAATTGATCCTAAAGGGGCTAGTACAGTTGTACATGATTCTGTGCCAGGAAAGCCATTATAATTCCCTCCCAGCAGGCACGGACCTATGTGGTGCTCAGTGGGGGCGGCTGCTCCCATTGAATTTTTTAAAATTTGCATTATGTATCTATAATTTTTGTAAAATTTTGTAAATGCCCCCACTGAAATTATAAAAAAAGTCCAATTTATAAATCTGCAATCGCAGATATTTCTTGATGTTAATTAATCCTCTCTATTTTTTTATATTTGTTCCCATCAAATTCGTAATAGTATTCACTGCCTAAGAGATAGACTAGAATACAACCATACATTTAATTTTATTATTTTACATAATGGTGTCAAATATAAGAAGTTTTTTTTTTAATTTTTGTACATAAATTTTACTTAATTTTTTTGATAAGTAGTATATAAATTTTACTTAATATAAAAATTCATTGAGAATGATTGTAAATATGACACAAGAAAATATATCAATCAATATTATGTTTTTAAAAAGTTTATCTTTGACTTTTTTTTTTTTTTTTTTGGGGGTCTTATTACTCTTAATGGCGCCCCCTCAACAAAATTTCTGGGTCCGTCACTGCCTCCTGGCATACTGCAACAAACTGCAGTAAACCAGCAATCCATAGGGAATAGCAACATTCAAAGATTAATGATACATACCCAAACTCAAGGGTTTTAAGTGCTTAACATGGTTGTGACATATATTACAGAACTGCAATCAAAGACACTAACTTCAAGCAAACACAAAACCAATCGCAAGGCGCAGAAACAAATTCAATCTTCACATCAAATCAACAATGCAAAACACCAATTCAGTGCATGATCCAAAATGTACCTTAACACAAAATTAATAAATTATAAAAAATTTAAATATTAGAAGAAAAACTGGATCTTTGATCTAGTAGCTAAACAAATAAATAAAATTAAAGAAAGCAAAAGATAAATTAGGGTTTGGTGATGGTGTGAAACTACCTTGTCATTGAAAGTATCGGCTGTTAGGGTTATAACATCAGCTCTTGTAATTACTATCAGATTCAACAGCAGAAGAGATGATATGAGAAGAAGAGATCGAAGATTGTATTTGTTTTTCATCGCAGCTTCGAATTTTCTCTATTTGTTTCCTCTAAAATTATACATAACAGACTGAATCGAAGAAGATGGTAACAACTTTCGACCGACCGGTTACAAATTCGGGTAAGGGCCGGGTCATTTATTTTCCATGTACCCGTGTTGAGAATTGGATCAACTCGGTAGAGTTAGTACTGGCTCGTTGTAACAAGGGTCATTTTGTCCCACATCGGAATCGGATGGGAAAGAGATTGGGTATAAATGGGTGGGTATGCAGCCTTACCTAACAGTTCGAGCTTTTGGGTAAATGGGCAAGCGCCCACCCGTTACAGTTGGTATCAGAGCCAGACCCAGTCCTTGATCCGGTGCCACGCCAAGAGTCCGGCCCGGAAGGCGTCCGGGTGAGTCATCCCAGGTAGGCAGGGTGGCCCAACTGCAACGAGGGCGTTGCGAGTTTGGGTGGGGGAGAATGTAATAAGGGTCGTTTTGTCCCACATCGGAATCGGATGGGAAAGAGATTGGGTATAAATGGGTGGGTATGCAGCCTTACCTAACAGTTCGAGCTTTTGGGTAAATGGACAAGCGCCCACCCGTTACACTCGTGTTCCCCATAAAAATCAAATGGGAAAAAATTGAGTGTGTGTTATGTGTTGTGTGTTTGTGTGTGTGTGTGTGTGTGTGTGTGTGTGAGAGTATATAGCATTGACTAACAATTTAAGTGCTAAAGGGTAAATAGCAGGGATGACAATTTCCACCGGCCCATCGCCACTCCCGCTTTTAATGAAATGAATTTGGTAGCCTTCTAAATAGGTTTGGGATGGGTATGATAAAATAATTAAAAATTTGAATGAATTTAGGACGGAGATGGATTTATTGATGAACCGGCTCTGCCCCTGCCCCCGCCCAGTTTATGTATATACTTTTAAATTTTTTATAAATATATAAAATATATATTTAATATTTTTAAAACCTTAGTACTTTGCTGAAAATATTTGTTAATATATTAAATATTCACGCTTAGTTATTTAACAGTTGGACCAATTTATTTATTAGCCCAATTTGAGTACATTGAATTAGTTTATTTTACTAAATAATAAAATTGGCATAACTTGTCCCGCTCTATAATTAAACGGAATACGCGGGACGGAGTCGATATTTTGTCTGTTGGAGTAGGAGCGGAGATGTTATACCAATTATAAACTCGTCTCGGAATGGAATTAGGGTTAGTATGACGAATTTTTTAATAGGACTGAATAACGTTTAGTCAAATTTGTCCCAACTCCACCCGTTGCTGTTCCTAACAAGTACTCGGGTAGATATAATTGGTATCATTGGCAGATTATGGGGTCAGAAAGTGTCCAATATGTCCAAAGTGGTTCATTCACGAGTACGTTCATATGGGTAGGAAAAAAATTGAGTATATGTGGTTGAAGTGAATTAGACTATTTCAGTTTGAGTGATTTTGTTTATGTTGTATTTTTAATCATTTATCATTTATGAACTGAGTTTTGAGTATTTTGTTTAGTTGAATTTTTAATAATTTAAGAACCGGTTTTAATGTCACTTTACTTTGTGCACGAGTTAAAGACTCTGCACTATTTGTGCAACAATATAATGCCTTCAAATAGTGGTATTTACTCTCAAAATGTTAATATTTTTTATGAAATTATTTAAATCCAAATCATTAATTTATAATTTATTTTTGCCGAATTAACCATGCCTACAATTTTGTTATCCTTTTTGTTTTGTTTTTTGTTTTTATTTTCTTCTTCATTTATTTCTCGTTCTCATTTGTTCTCAACCCATTATCACTCTCAATTACCCACCACTGCCTCCATTGTTAGACCAATTTACTCCCAAAATTCTTGTTCTTTTTCATGTTAAAAGATTAGATTTATGTGTATGTGAATTTATCCAAGTTGGACTGAATTTGTAATGATGAGAACGAGAGAAAAGATATCCACTTCAATAGCATTAAACAAAATGAAATACATTTTCCAACTATGATCATATTATTTAAATTCAGAGAAAGAATATGAAATAAAAAACTCTATTCGATAATTCATTGATGAGTATTACATTCAATTTATAAAATAGGATTAGCTAAAATAGGTAACAAATTACCTACCAATTAGCCCTAAATCAAGGAGTAAATAATTCAATCCTACAGCTGTACTATAAGAGATAAAATCTCAATACCCCCCTTCAAGTTGGTGCATAGATGTCATACATGCCCAACTTGTCTAAATTCTTTGAAAACACTTGATTTGAGACTGCTTTGAGATCGAATCTTAAACAACTCCACAATTTTTCCATCCAACTTCTCCTTAATAAAGAATCTGTCTATTTCGACATGCTTCGTACAATCATATTGAATTGGATTATGGGCAATATCACATGCTGATTTATTGTCACAATATAGTCGAATAGATTGCCCAAGTAGATAACCCAAATCCCGCAAGAGAAGTTTTAACCACAATGTTTCACAAAGTGCAAGCGTCATACCTCTGAATTCAGCTTCTGCACTCAAGCGAGCAACAATATTTTGTTTCTTGCTTCTCTATGTAACAAGATTACCTCCTACAAAATTAAAGTAACTAGAAGTAGATTGCTTATCATCTATAGCTCCAGCCCAGTCAGCATCAGTATATGTAGCTATGTTTTGATAACCAGCATTTTTAGTGAACAAAATTCCTTTTCTAGGAGCAGATTTCAAATATTTCAAAATGCGCATAACTGCATTCCTATGTTACTCTCCAGGATCATGCATAAACTAGCTAACAATGCTCAATGCATAAGCCAGATCCAATCTCGTGTGTGCTAAGTACATTAATCTCCTTACAAGTCTTTGGTATCTTCCTTTATTAGCAGGTACTTGGTTGGACTCAACACATAACTTCAGTCCTTCTTCCACTGATGTCTCAGCTGGTTGACATGCTATCATGCTAGTCTCTTGTAATAGATCTAAGGCATATTTTCTTTGAGAAAGAAAGATTCCTTTATTAGATCGAGATACTTTGATCCCAAGAAAATATCTCAAAAAACCTAGATCTTTTATTTCGAATTCTCTGGACAAGTACTTCTCGAGAGCCTTCATTTCTTCAAGATCATTCTCTATAACCACCATGTCATCTACATATACAATGAGTGCAGTGATCTTATCCTGTTGTTTCTTCAGAAATAACGTGTGGTCTGAATTGCTTTAACAGTAGCCAAAGATTATCATAGACTTTGTGAATCTTCCAAACCATACTCTTAGAGATTGTTTCAACCCATATAATGATTTCTTTAACCTGCAGACCTTCCGACTATACTTTTCGGGTATCATGCATCCTGTTGGGAGATCCATGTAGACTTCTTCAGATAATTCACCATGCAGAAAGGCATTCTTCACATCGAATTGTTGCAATGGCCAATCCAAGTTTGCAGCTAAAGGCAACAAGACACGAACTGTGTTTATTTTGGCTACAGGTGCGAACGTCTCTGTGTAATCGATTCCATAGGTTTGTGTGTAACCTTTTGCCACCAATCTTGCTTTAAAGCGTTCAACTGTGCCATCTACTTTATACTTCACAATGTAAATCCATCGACATCCAACTGGTTTATTTCTTGGTGGAGGATTAATGAGTTCCCAAGTTTCATTTTTCTACAAGGATTTCATCTCCTTGTTCATAGCTGCTTTCCACCTAGGGTCAGCTAAGGCTTCCTGCACACTGTTAGGAATAGATATAGTAGATAATTGATTTACAAATGACAAATTTGATTTTGACAATCGATGGTTCGACATATAATTACTCATGAGATACTTAACTTTACTAGAAAGTTCGTGTCCATATGTAGGTTTAGGAATACCTCTAGTGTGACGCGGTGGTAATTGTTTTTTGAGCGGCTCAGACACTAAATCAGGAATATCCTTAGCAGGCGATTGGTTTGATATATCAGTTGTGAGGGACTCGAACTCGGACGACGATGGGGTTGGGGCCATACTTTCCATTTCTGGGCGTTTATCACCACTTTGATCCAAACTTATACCACTCGAATCCAATTCGCCTGATTCCTGATTAGTTGGTCCAACTTGTGAGTCATTAACACTAGAATCGCTATCCTAAAAAATGTGATAATCATAATCTATAGTCTGAATTTCGTTTTGGTACTCCCCCTGAAGTTCAGACGCAGAGGAAAAATACATCGAATCTTCATGGAAGACAACATCTATTGTGATAAACATTCGTCGAATGGGAGGGTGATAACAGCAATACCCCTTTTGATGAGTAGTATATTCGAGAAAAACACATCGCAATGCGCGAGGAGTTAGCTTGTTGTGTTGATGCTTATGGAGGTGTACAAATGCTACACAACCAAAGACATGAGGAGGTAGATTTGTGACGGTTGGGGCAACAATTGCGTCAGTGAGAGCCTGCAATGATGTCCGGAAGGCAGTAGAGCCGGAAGGTACTTGATTGTTGAGATATGCTGCAGAGGTAAGTACTTCTCCCTAATACGATAATGGCATATGCGCTTCTATCAATGAAGCACAAACAACCTCGAACAAGTGTCGATTTTTTCGCTCTGCAACCCCGTTCTGCTAGGGTGTATTAGAACAAATGGTTTAATAAATAGTTCTATGTGCTTCCAAATACTGTTGAAGGTCAAAACTCTTATATTTTCCACCATTGTCACTATGGAGAACCTGAACATGTGCATTGTATTGAGTTTCAACCATTTTATGAAACTTTTGAAACAATTAGTTTACTTTACCTTTGGACTTCATCAAGCACAACCAAGTCATTTTGGTACAATCATAAATAAAAGTAACAAACCAACGGGATTCACCTAAAGTAGTGACTTTGGACGGACCCCAAACATCAGAATGTATAATCATAAAAGGAAGTGGATTTTTATGCAAACATAATGGATACGAAACATGATGGCTCTTTGCTAATTCACAAACATCACAGCGGAAACTAGAAACATCACATTTTGCAAACAAACTAGGAAATAATTTTTTCAGATAACCAAAGGAAGCATGCCCTAGACGTCAATGCCACAGCCAGATTTCAGATTTTTTTCTCTCCCCTTCAGAACCATCCATTGTCAATGCTTGTCGAAACTTTTGGACATCAAGTCTAAGTAATACAGTTTTCCTCGTCTAATACCACAACCAATCGTCTGCTT